TTCATAAGGTGCTCAGTGTCCAGCATACGCTTGACCATGGTCTATACTCTTATTAGGCCATGCAATATGCATGAGAATAATGAGGTGATTGAACAAAATTTTGCATTGAGTATAAAAGAGTACAGGGAGTAATTATGGAAATTTAATGTCTTATCCTTTCTTGCAACTCTTCGACTTCGTGAGGTTTAGCTTTATACTGTGTCCAAGGTAAGGATGTCTATCATGGGGATCTCTGAAACCATAGAAGGTACTACAATGGTAAAATTAGGGAAAAGTTACGCAATTAAAGCGTTATTATCACGCTGTAAAGAAAACCAGAAAATTCCAATTACTTTTAAAGATATAGCAGAAAAATTTCCTGATTTTTCTCATGTTATTTGAACAGATACAAAAAAAAATAAAAAACACTTTCCCATTGCCACTATTTGAGCTTTACAAGACACCGTTGAGAGATTTTCCATACATTTCGCTTCATCAATTTTATTTTTTTATATGACTCGCAAAAAAGTGCATACTGTATTAGTAGCATTTTTTATTACGATGTATGGCACAAAAAAACAAAAATTGATTTCAACAGGATTATGCACCCGCGCCCAACACCCTATTGGTCAAATTTCCTGGAAAATGAACAATTTGTTCGACAGCTATTCTCGTACGATAACCACGGTTTGCGGCGGCTCACGAAGAGACTTCTGTACGTTTTTTTATTGATGATAATACTTCAGCTGCCACTAACTTTTATTTCCCTGTTAGGGCCCGTGCACAAATATTGAGAAGCTGCCCTCTGATGGTGATTAAGGAAGCTAAGCCTAAAAGGGGAAGTAAGGCAAACACAAAATAAAAGAAATTAATTTCGTTCTGGAACAGTTAATGGCACAAAAAATTAACATTAAATAATTGACATATTGTATGCGATTTTTGAATGAAAAAAAATAGGGGACGGAAAAGGATGAGGATTAGAGAGGAAATATTTTGGTTGTTGAAAATCTGCAAAATACTAAATTGGTTATGAGATCTCATTACAAATTGATAGCCATATTGTTTCTTTTTATATCTGCGGGGAATGATTGGTGATGAAGGGGTGAATGAGTGACACAATTGATCATACACTACGAGATGAATAAAAAATAAACGGTAACTGAAGGGGGTAGAAAGTTGCGTTTACGATTCAAAAGTTAGTTTTGCAAACTATGCTGATTTGGTGCAACAGAATCAATCCCTTAAGGGGTCCTGTAAAAATCATGTATGTGCGAAGTTCTCGAGAATCGTTTGGTATTCAGTTGTATCGAATTTTTTCTAATCATTTCAGAAACCTCTATATTGTTTTAGTTTACAACATTAAGCTGCAACACATTATGGACAAAGTTTGATCTTCAATTTTCATTTGAATATTTAACAATAAATCATCTTTAACATCAATATTACATATTTAAAGTGTATGGGCTAAGAGGGGGTAAATACTATAGATTCAATAAACGTGGTAACAGCCAACGTCACACAATTGAATTGAATAAATATTTTAAGGAAATTTCTACAGAATTTTCCATTGTGAGAAGCCTTGGTCACTGGATCATTGCAGTACTTCAATATTTGTCTCGAAATTTCTTAAGAATCCCTTTCGGATGTAACATATTGATTCAATTATGTTAAATAATAATAATTTCCTAAGATATTGCGGAAGGAGATAGTGGAATTGAATGCGAAGTTGGATGTAAATAGACTGAGAATTAGATTTACATCGCACCGTAAATTTAGATAAGAAACTTGACCTTGCCTGATCTGTCCCACAATCGTCATAATAATGCAGAAATATTTCTATATTCAAAATCAGTTGCAAGTGAACTGTTCATCGGTGCGGTGTATTTGCGTATCTAACGAAGGATAAGGGTAAGTTTTAATTGCAGTCCTGTGACACTCACTAATTGCCCTGCTAATTGCTTACGTTTGGTTTGGCGGGTAATCCTTTTAAATGGATTGTTTTGTTAATGGCAACAACCATGGGAACATGTTTTAGAAAACCCTTGAATCTTCATCGATACAGGTAACTTTGTTTTTTCGAGGGAATTTGTTTTCGATGAAGCAAATCGTACATAGACTCAAAACAGTCAATTTTTCTACGTAATATCTACGCTAACTCATTTAATTCAGCGTTTGTCCAGTTATTTTTCCAACTAAAAGAACTCACTTGTTTGATGCTATGAAAATTTGCGGTATTTCGGGTGTTTCGAATTCGTTGTTTGTCATTATTTTGCTTATTTATCTAGTCTATACACCACACAATTTAAATGTTATAGCTTCGTTCACATATTGAATAAGTAAAAAGCTCTTTGTCCCAAAAAAACACCCATCCATCGCGCACATTTTATTCCTGCTGTTTTGGTGGTGGAAAGCCTTTAAAAACCCACTATAAGTAGACTGCTGGGGGGTTCCAAGTGATATCCACGTTTTTTTACGACGACAATCTGAGAAAAAGATTTGTTATTGTTTGCAAAAGCATCAAGATGCCCATCGGAGAGACCTTTCATCGATAGAACCGTTCGCTATTCGCTAAAATACAAAACAGATCAGCATTTCAGGAAATCTCAGCTAATTCCCCAAAAAAAGAAATGCAAGTTTTTATTTATTTTGCCTTTATTTTTGAGTGCGCGGGGTTGGCAGTGAGCTATAAACTGGGTACCTACAATAATCGCTTTCTTCTGCACAATAAAAGCTTTGTTCGATTTGGGAGCATCTGCCCATAAAATTACTCCATACAGGAGATGAGAATAAAAAAGTGAGAAGTATCAGGATATAAGGGTTTAATCGATATTGCCCGTTTTAGAGTTCTCAAAACAAATAATGAGTTGATAGTTTCGATACAACATAGTCAATGCACGTCAACCTATTTTGACTTTAGTGCATAATGATCTTTAACAATTGTGGAGGTATCGTCAGCATAGGCTATACAGATACTGGGACACACAAATTGAAAAAAATCATTTACATAAATAATAAAAAACAGAGACCCTAAAATAGAGCCTTGTGGAACACCATGTTTCGTAGAAAGTAGCCTTGAACAACACATTGCTTACGATTGTAGAGATAAGCCGCTCGATACGGATGGGAAGATAATACCAGTAAGGTAAAGCTGAATGGAATGGTGTATTACACAAAGGGCTCAAAAACTACGAAGGACACCGGCTGTGGAGTCTACGGAAGCAATGGACAGGGCTTCAGATCTAGGACAAACAGCAACCGTGCTCCAGACAGCAAAGCTCTAAGACAGCAAAGCACCGATTGCAGAATTAGACTCAAGTCTAAAAGTCAAAACGCATTGCCCAAAGTGGTCAGAGAATCCTGTAAGGACAGCACTAGATTTAAAACTATAAACTGAATGAGTTTATGAACACATTGTCTAAGCAGTTGTCTTTGCGTGTTGGATACGAAACAGTGCGTGAATTATTGTCAACCAATGGGAGTACTTCGAAGTGTAGGTGTTTTAGTCCCTTACAAAAGGTAGATGCAATGGAAACTGAAAAGTCACCTTATAGTCAGTCATCCCCACCCTCTCAATTATTAGGACAGGAAATTGATTAATGCGCTAATACTACCTGTTTATTGTAAACGCACGGCAGCCAGGACTTGCTGTGGATTGTATGGTTCCAAGGGATCACTAATTTATATGTTATATAGTAAAGGGCTATTAATTAATTAATCATTTTGCATATCTACTTAGTGCAAATACCATACCCTATATCTTAACAATGTGCTTATAAGTTATACATTTGGAAATAAAAGAAGCGTCGAGAAATTATGTGGTTACGATTCAACACTGATTTATACACGACATTAAGAGATCTCAAAAAACGTAGAAAATTACAATGATACGCATTATAAGTCAACTTCAACTTAATCCTTTTAAATACCAATTTATTCTAATTTATTCTAAACTGAAAAATAAACTATGTTCACTTTACAATTGATTACTCCGTTTTTGGGATAGGTGTATCATCATTCCCGGCAATTGTTAAAAGATACTAATTAATGATTCCATTCTCAAATTGTAACACACAAACCTCTTATATAAAAATTGGATCCAGTTTAAGTTTTCTTTATCTCACAAATGAAGGCAGTTTCTTAATGACTTAATTTAAGAGCAAATAGAGTGGGCGTTTTATGAAGTTGTCTTCAGTGATTATCTCCACCTTTTACGTTTTTACTGTTTAGTAAGTATTTTTAAATGTGCATTTCTCATTTAATACTAATTTATGTCATCTATTATTCGAAACGGACGACATTAAAATATGGGAGGACTTTGTTTCTTATTTTAATGTACGGATAATTAGGTGCGTATTCAAGATTTGCATATATAATTTGGGATTCAATTATATACACCACGCGATGATCATTTTCAGGATTGTTAACGTCACCGAAGATTGCACTGATTGAGACACTAGGGTAAAATATTGCCGTAGTTTTGTACATAATCTTTCTACAGACAACACGCTGTGTTCACACTTATGTAGCATTTGCATAACTGGATAGTTGTATTTGATTTTAAAATCCATCCACTTTGCTTATAATACGATGAAGCACATCATTAGATAATGGATTAGAACTAACGTGTAATGGGCGAATATCCAATTATTCAAGATCTCCAAGTACACTTTTTGTACTCTGTTGCATGTCAGTATTGTTTACGTAGAATGCCAAAAGGGGTTTACCAGATTTCTTTTTTTATATCAACGTTATTTATTACTTACAACGTTTAAAGTCGCCAGATGTTTCTGGATGTTACCATTATCGTGTTACAAGTATCAGTGGACACCATAAATTTGAAAGCTACTAGCAACTTTACTTCTAAACATTTCTTGACCATCGACAGTTCTTTTTAATAGAAATGGAAATTTAATACACCGTAAAATCATCTACCATTGGCACCCAGAGATTACCGGCCAAAAATTGTACGGGATCGAATTACCATAAATAAAACACGTAAAGAAGGTGTAAATTGTAATTTTTGCATCACAATTGCATTGCCTATAACTATTTTACAATGATGTAATTGTATTCACGCTCAACCATATGTTGAAATACCTACACGCCAAGGTATTAAAAGAATATGTGAAGATCTTGGCGATTAGATCAGTTCAACAAATGGTTATTTGTTCAACTTTACCATAACTTCAATAAATAAGATTTCATCTATAACTAAATCGCACATTCTGTAACGCGGAAATGTTTACTAAGATTAATGTTCGGCTTAAAGATATAAACGAATTTTAATACGATAATTACGACACATTGTTCATTTGCTCGATTGCTTCGCAGCCGCTGACACAATAAATAACTATAATAAATACATCGGTTGCTTTGGTAATTGTTCATTAATGTACGCATATTTAATCCCTGTCGTGTATTGTCAACTGCAAAGGCTGACACGTAGGCAGCTCCTTTCCATTAGGCGGATCAACTACTTCAACTGGACTTGACGACCTAGAGAAACCTCGATCGTCGTCAGATTCATCGTTTACGTTAATTTCCTCGTCGGAATCGGACTTATCGTCGTAATCCCCTAGCCGGTGGATACTATCGGACGCGGCCAACAGAGCGGAATTTGGTACTAGGGATTTGAACGCGCTGTTTTCACCTCCCATTTGGAGTAAGAGGGATGAAGCCGTCGGGCCGGAGGTGCGTTGTCGTGTAGTAAGTGGGGAGCCAGGGGTGGAAGCGACTGTGTAGTGAGGCGAAGGTGTTAAACGACCCCCGAACATCGGCGACTGGCTTCCTTGCTGAACCGGAGAAGATTGCTTCAGCATATTCATTCGTTGGTGCCGTCTCCATTTTGCTCGTCTGTTGGAAAACCAAACCTGGTTAACAATTCGTTTGTTAATAATAATGTATTATTTAAGGGAAGATTAATTTACCTGAACTCGCGCTTCCGATAGTGACGTTTTGGACGCTAATCGTTCCCTTGTAGATACACAGGGATAGTGACTTTTTTCGAATTCCTTTTCTAGTTCTTCTAATTGATCGGGACTGAACGTGGTGCGATTTCGCCGAAATTTCGGTTGGTCGTTAGATTCGGATAGGCTAGAGTCGTCCTTGCCGTCGACATCAAGGAGACGTTGACTGGGAGGCGAGTTGAGGAGACTGTGGTCTTGGGGAGATGCGGACGAGTTGGGAGAGCCGCCCATTACGCCGCCGTTAGGGGGTTGCAGACCTAATGGACCATTCGGCCACAAATGTGAATGCCAGGGAAACGCTGCGGCGGCTGCGGCGTAAGGATGGGGGTGGTACAGTCCGTAACCGGCAGCTCTTGCGAATTCTGCCGCAGCTCTCTCGGCTGCTCTGTTTCTCAAAATGCGGTTTATACTACTAACGGATGGTGCCGTAGCGTTCGTGCAGACGCCTGAAATAAAGGGAAAAAAATCAATTAAACCGACGGTTATTATGCCGAATGAAGTTCAACTTTTTGACAGCATAATAAGATCAAACCCATATTTGTACCTCATAAAATCGTAGGTATTCTTCTAAAGTACCCTTGAACAGATTATCGTTCATTGTGGACAGAATTTAAGAGCGAACACAATGACTCGCCTATTATTTGTTTAAACACAAACTAAAGACTTCTTTATCGGTTAATACTCAAGTGCCTACACATCTGAAGAAGTGATACGAAATGATCGCGCTGCCTCTTAAAATATCATCAAATCATTACAATGCGGTCAGCTTAACAAGGAATTCTTCGGTAATTTACCTACGGGAATCTATTAGCCATCGCGCCGTTTTCAAACTAAACAATTGGTCGACTATGAAAAATACAAATTATTTATCTTGCATCTCCGTTTTGGCAGTCAAGTAATGGATAGACAAGAGTATTAGCTCAGCTTGACGTATTGCTTTTGTAACGTTCTTAGATATTATTCTTTACACATTGGTTAATTTTCATAACTGTTACATTGTAATACGATTCCGATATTTAATTTATCGTAGGTCATAATAGAATAGGAACATCGGCTCATTACCATTTCTATTGTTAATTTTAACAAATGATGTGTAAGTGTTCCATAAATTCAATTAGATAGCATTAATCATCATTCAACAATGATTTGTTTGCGAGCAATTACTTTAAAAAAAGATGCAATGCAACACCTTACATTAAAACGAGGAATGGTAGATTTTGCAAAGCAGTTTCGACATGGGACACGTGTAAAATGAAATAATTTGTAGTTTCGCGTTAAAATTTGCTGCCATTAGTACAGTCAAATTAGACCAAAAAATGGGCATTCCGTGCATCAGATATGTCATCTCTAATTTTTCTTTTACCTAAATTGTTAGGATCAATATGAATGTGAAAAATCCAAGTTTTCGACATTGAAAGACCTGTGCGAGCGACACAGCACTTGAAAACATGTCATTTTTCTTACAATTTTTTTGTTTTTGTAAGTTTTACCTACTCCTGAAGAACCGATTTTAATGCAATTATTGTCGTATACTTTTTTGAACTAGATAAAATTTCTGACAATTTAAGCTCTTAACGATCTCCGCAAGTCTAATAGTTTCCGAGATACGGCGCTTCAACTATTGGTAAATTTATTAGTTTTACAAGTTTTATCAAAATTTGCGTTTTTTCTTCGCAGAAAGTAAACTTACAAAATATGCACGATGAATTGTCGTAAGTCGTGAGTCGTAATAAACTTGTTGTTGAGGAAGTACTAAAAATTGCGGATAATGAAAGCAAATTAAATATTGATTTTTGTCTTTTAGTGGAAAAATATCCATGTTTATATATGATGCGTTATTCATTCAAACCATAGTGTTGTGAGTAAGCTTTCTGCTACTGTCACAGATCTTCTATATTCGGTGTCCCTTTTGAATGGTCAAGCAAGGTCAGGCAGAAGTAAAAAACTCACAGATTTCGCAATCCATGCAACAGGTAGTGGATTTTGTTGAAGAAGAAGATGACAACTTTCTTATCATGGGAGATGCTGGGGATCCAGAGGAGATCAACATTTTACCTCTTTCTGTGTGGATTTATGGACTCCTCACCACAAAGTCCCCCCAAACGACCAAAATTGTAAAAATATTCATGAGGTTTTTATGCGAGAAAAAGGCAAATTTGATTAAAATTGAAGAATTTACGAATTTTTGAAATGCTGTATCTCCAAAACGATTAGACTTACAGAGCCGGTTAAGGGCTTGAATTGTCACAAATTTTGTCTAGTTTAAAAAAGTATACGACAGTAATTGCTTTAAAATGCTTCAGAAATAAAACTAACCAAAACTTAAAAATAATAGAAAAAATGGCGTATTGTCGAGTGCTGCGTTGCTCGCACAGGTCTTTGGATGTCGAAAACTAGAATTTTTGACGTCCATTCTCAGCCTAACAATTAAAAAAAAAAATTAGAAATGACACATCTGATGCAAGGTATTATGATAATTTGACTGGACTACATGTACTTTTGGCAATTTCCGAGCATCAGAACCGTTTCGTTTAAAGTACGTATTCAATACGTCTCTGAGGGGAGGAATTTTGTAATGCAACACATTTTTCGAAATCATGAAATTTGAGCATTCCATGCATGTGATTTTGATTGATAAAATGCGGTTCCAATAAATATGTGGGTAGGAACCTCGCAAGGAACCTTTTCAGCTATATTTCAAAATTTCTTCAGACGGTTCTTGATAACATTTTTATTTTTTAGATATTTTTGGAAGGATTTTAGAATTTGCTTAGAGATTTTGTAAAAACTTTTACAATCATTCTGTCCCCGGGATATTTCTGTCTCAAAAATTCTTGCGAGATAATTCGCAATAAAGTTCTAAGGGATTCACAACAACCTCTTTAAAAATTCTCATTCAGAGATCCTTCTGATTGTTCAGCTTTCTGGAAATCTTTCCAAGGCGATCTAGACTCTAGAGATTTTCCATAGATTCTATGGAATTCCTTTCTGTGACTACAGCCCGACACAGACGCTGCTGTTACGAAGAGGAGCCAGTAATCACTAGTCTTTCCATATCCGAACATAAAGACCTAAAATATGGATACTAACCAAATCCATGAGAAATCTCTAAAACATCCTTAAATAGTCATGAGAAAATTTGTAGATATTTTTTGGTAGGATTTAAGACACTGCTTACAGACTTTGGTAAAGATTGTAAAACATTCTTCTGTTCTAAAGAGTTCTGAATCAAATCCTTCATATTTCTTAAATTATGGAAATTTTGTAGAAATTTTTCTGTGATGATCCAATAAGATTTCCCATAACTTCTGCAGTGATTCTATGGGATTCCCTTCTGTGAGAAATCTCTACAGGCCGAAACCGACGCTACTGAATCAACTCGACCCACTATTCAATTATGATCCAGATAACTATCTAATTTCCCCTTGACTTTTAACACTCTCATACGGCCCCTTGAAGCACATTTCCACTTTCGAACGAATGTCTACGTGCAGCAGTAATATTTGGAAGGGCATGCTTATTATAAGAGACAACTTTATGTTGACAACTGCAAATTTCGTGTTAAAATTTATATGTACGATGCACTAAAGGTGGGCACTCGAATTTCGATCGATCCTCGCGATTGCCTTCCAGTAACCCGTTCAGTTTTCAATAAGAAGCAATCGCATTTAAGGATGATTTTATTGATAGGTTCCTTTTGTGCCTGCAGGACTGAATAGTGAATTAATGTGTTAGATAAATCATGCCGCTTCAGAAGATTGTATCGACCAAGCTACGATCCCGAGTGTGATCATGATCAATGCTATTCCATGATAAATATACAATTATTAATCATTCATCAGTCACACTGTAATTACATACGGTGGGCTGAGATTTAGCTGGCGGCTATCTAATTGAAAATCGAACATAAACCTACGCAGATTGATATTCATGAGGGACTTCTGAAATGTTGAATGCGTGTGTCATATTAAAAGTAGCTATTAATTTTCTATCGACCCGAAATCGCATTAACCCCATTCTTCAATTGTATTATTAAAATTCGAGAATGTATTGTTCTTGATTATTTAGAACTTAGACACTTGGAAAGTTGTTATGTAACAGCATTTTTCTTTTGAACATAATTGGATAAGTACCTGCGCGCATTAATACAAAAGATTGCGTGCTCCGACTAATTACATAACTTAAGTCCATGCTTGAAGGTGTTTACCACTTAATAACATGGCATAGGTACCATAAACAGATTTGACGAAGTCCTTTTTTTCAAAGAGATGCATAGGTATAAGTCCACTACTCTGATTAAAAATCATAGAAACGTTTTGCACTGCCTAATCATGATCCAGATGCCTGCAATATTTCGCAAACTATCACAGCATTTAATGGTATGTAATTTGCCTGATTCAAAATTTGCTAATTTGTATTTTAAAACAGAGCCTTAGGCCGCCGGAACTGCAGGTTCTAAATCATAATTTATTTTGATATCGCCCCGGTTAACTTTGCATAAAATGTACAATGTATGTAATTAACTTTTTCGCATTGATCTTTTAATGCGTTACGCAATGTCTTCAAAGTTTAGGCAAGTGTTCTTGTTCACACGTCACGTTAAAAAGCTTGTATTAGTCACGGAAGTCGTCTTTTAATTTTCGTCAATTACAACCATCCACACGCACAAAAAAACTTGTAAACTTACGCCATTGCGACTTTACTTTTAATTTGCTTACCTTCCGATATTAATCTTTCACGAATTTCCCAAGCGAAGATCGTTGGATTTTCACGTTTGTACTGTTCAATTTTCGAAACAACAGCCGGGGTTGCTACCTTTGGTTTGCTTCCACCAATCAGTCCTGGTGGCCTTAATGTACCTAAAATTAAAAAAAAAGTTGATCAAAACACTAATTGATATAAACGTTTATATGTTGTGCAAATAATCGGCTTGAAAATAGAATCACGTCCGAGCAAAACAAATCGGTATACGCGCTTTAAAATATAATTGATGGCACGTATAAAATAGTCAGACCAGTTCCTGTAGTCTGGCAATTTCACTTTTTCATGTTAACGTAATGACACTAGTTTTTATTGTAAGAAATATTGATCACAAGCTCGCGAAATGCATTTTTCCGTAATAATCGTAATTGCGACCTCTTGCGGATTTACACGCCTTCTGTTTTACAAAACTTTTTGTGTTTGTTAAATGCAAGCCTTTATTAAGCTTAATATGCTTGGTATAATCTGTGAAACTAAAAACTTCCCTTGTTAAGAATAAATGAGTGTATATTTAACTAATACCTGTGTACTGAGAAACGTGAGAATTTTAGAAAAAAAACCTTTTACTAGCTACAAGGGGTCGTTTTTATATTTCCGGACTAGCCTGTTTTGAATTTGGTGCAATTTTTCATTATGCTGTTTTTTAATTGCATATGCCTTGGTAACTTCTGTGGCAATTTTCAAAACAATTTATTGCAATATTATTAATTCACAAATCACAATAATAATAATGTTTGTGGCATTATTTGCTTTCAATGGGCATTGCTATTTATTTTCCGTCACGAAGGCTGATGAACAGACACTGTCTTACGCCTCAAATGTGTAGGTTTAGAAAATTTAGATTATACAGTGCGATATAAATTTCTCTCCAGTACAATACATGAGTTAAGTTAAGGTGATTAAAAAATCGTTTTAATATACAGTGTCCAGGATAAGGATGTCTATCATGGGGATCTCTGAAACCATAGAAGATACGACGATATTCAAATTAGACAAAACATGCGTAATTAAAAAGTTAATATCGTACTTTAAACAAAACAAGAAAATTCGGATTATTTTCGAAGATATGCCAGAAAAACCGAAATTGGCGATTTGGTTTTTATTTTTTTTTATATTGAAAACCTCTCGACGCTGTCTTGTAGTACTCAAAAAGTGGCAATGAGAAAGTGTTTTTTTATTTTTAGCTGTAGTCTAAAGTAGTCTATTAATATCTATCTCAATATATAAAAATCCCATGCAATTGAAGTCCGAACGATCATCGAGATCGTTTTTGGGCTGTAACTTTTTGGCCGGATAATCCATGTCGCTGAAAAACAATAGCGACCTTTCTTATGTATTTATTAATAACAATTTACAAAGCGATCTCACGATCCTCCGCCGTTAAACAAAGTTATAATGTACACGGACACACAGACGGACATACAGAATTTCACCCAAAACGGAGGTACATGTTGAACTTCCACGATCAGGGTGTAAAGTGAGCCGTGGATCTTGAGACTCATTTCGAATAGACCGATGAAGAAATTTATTTTCAAAAACCAATCAACAACTAAGTGGGGGCAGATACTTGACTTCGCGTATTTCGAATTTGCACGATAATTATACTAAAAAATGAAACTACGAAGAGAAAGTTAAAGTTTGCGTGAGCATAAACCAAAATTGGCAAGATTACTCGCAGTTAGTGATACGAATCGTTTAAGTTCCAAAATGTTGTCCATGCTTTGTCAACATTTCCGTTCGGGTCGGAATAAGGAAGCGGTAACAAATTACCAAAACCGTAATTGCCCAAAATTCAAAGCACAACCGCATAAATTTAAATTAAAGGACATTAAAGGAATTGTCATGATCTGTGCCTGCTTCTGCGTAGTTTGCGTGAGAGCATTGTTGCATGTAGTCGAGTGCACAGCTTCGGGCATTCTGGCTACTTCGAACACTTGATCATGCAAGTGTAATTACTCTTTCATAATCCTTTAGTATTCGTTATTTATTTCCTTGGGACATTTTAAATATGGTCACATTATGTTATTATATTTGTATCTCAGATGATTATCTGCGGAGAAAATCCAGAAATTTGCTGCCAACGCGTTAGTAATTTTCCGACGGAGATTATAGTTATTCATATTATGTCAAACAATTTCAAAGTAGACATTTAGTTCGATCAATCAAAATTACTCATAAACGCCAAACAATTTCGAAAGCATTCTCATGGAGGTATAATTATTTATTCGTTCCATTATACAACTGTACTTTACTTTTATTGATTATACGACTGACCACGCTTTATGAAAGCAATTATTGTTATCTATTTTTATCATTTGTGATTAAAAATGAAAAAAGCCATGTAATCGAGTTAATGGATTGAAGTAAAACGAAAAAAGATACCTACCTACATCTTTGAAATATATATGTAATTAAGTACAATTTATGAGAAGCACATAATTTAATTGCTGTAGTCAATTAAATTGAATTTATTTATAAATTTGTAGAAAACTCTTGCCTTAAATTAAGAACTTAATTACGTCAACGGTTTGTTTCGCTCGCTAAAAGTAATGGCGATCGTCATTAAGTGCAGGAATACTTTAAATTCCGATCACTTTTAGGATCGATAGTAGAGTTTACTGGTTAAATAGGATTTCTGGTGGTGAGTCGAACTGGAGAATGTGTGTGGATGTGTTCTAGCTGGAAATATCTATAGTATAAATGTTCAAGTCTATTTTGGAAGAACCTTAATTATTGTGCACGCCTTTTAACCAAAACCACAATGCTATGATATCTAGTAGGTATATAGAGAAAAATGCGCTCAATCGAGGCCTACGATACTTACAGGCCGGAGCGCTCGAAAAAGTCACGTGACGTTAGGAGTCATATGAAATACATTACGACTTATGGAAAATCCGTGCGCGGCTCCACTATTTATTTTTTTACTCCGGATCCGTTCAACATAGAGCCACGAAATTTCAATGAGAGCTTCTCAATAGTACACACAATCAAATTATGGTGTTCGTTAATTTTTAATAACACTAAAAATAATTAATTTTTAGGTTTAAAGTATTGAAGATAAAACGATGTTAGTAAATCCGTGTGTTTCTATCTTTACATAATCATATTTCTTTTTCTAAGAACTATATCATTATAATCCTTTCGGTGTCTTAAACTAGAATAATATGCGCCTCCAATTATGCGTATATAATGTCTTATCTGGTATTAGTATAGTTTTAACAGGCCCTACTAAATCGCGCATTTATTATCCGCGCAGAGAAAAATTCACCATGCGAGAAACTTTTTTGTTATTGCTATAATTGTAACACATATATCGAATGAATTGTGGCCAAAGGACACAAAAATGTTCTTCAGAAGGAATTTTTAAGAAATGGTCTCTTGTTTCCTTTTTTTCAGCAGCTGAAGTAAATAGCGCAGCGCGATTTTAAGAATAAGTGAACGCGCAAAGGAATTATGTTTCAAATAATTGTTAGTCATCGATTTTCAAATTGTGTTTGTGAGATTCAAATTTACATTAAACTTATAAAATTAAAGATATTATCAGTCAAAAGTATGGAGTATATCTTATATCTTCGTTAATATGAATTTTGCAGTACATAAAGTATTTTAGTTATAGGTACCTACTATTGTGAAAGTGAAATGGGAAATTTGTCTTGTCCACCTATGAGGCCTGGTAAGTATCGTAGGCTTTCATCTTCATTCTATGAATAAAAATAACCTTTTGAATAAGGAAGTTTTAAAAAATAACTTTTTCTATCCAACAATTACAGCAGTTTTAGTAAAAAGTACAGCTTGTAAGGAATATGCAGTGCCGGACTGGCCCAGGCCGCTAGATTAGATTTCAATAAACACTACAAATATAAAATTAATAATATATTTTAAGAATATAGACAGTCATATTTTAAAATCCAACAATCAACCCTTAATTTAATATAAAACTGCCTATTTGACTGACATCAGTTTTTCAATTTTTTGTTGTCCTAGTCTTGTCCCTTAAATTGTTATTCTTACATTTTGAATAATTATTTAGTAGGATGTTGGCGAATGTTTGCAAACTTTTTGAAATGTAGTATTTAAAACTATTCTGACATTGGTCTCAAATTTCATCATCCACTTCTAAATTCTTCAAACATATTTTTATTAATAATAATTTTTGGTTACCGCATGACAAAAAATCTTTTTCGTATCTTTCAGAAATAAGTTGTTTAAAAATATTATAGGCTATTATTAAAAAATTCAGGAAACTATCAGTGGGATATCTCAAACCATCTCTATCTAAACATCTTATGTATTCTAATTCCGATGTTTTACTGGAATCATCAATTTCCAGTGGTCTTTCAGTAGCAAATTAACTTTTACACCTAGAACAGGTGCTATATCTTCCAAACAGTTTTTGTATCATATATCCTCCAATAAATATGAGTACCTTGACATCGTTTTCAGAAGTAACTATTTTGTCGTTTTCTAAATGTTAGAATATTTCAATACTTATATTTAACATCGCCTCATCTTCTGCTAAATTACACGACGAAACAAAATCTTTGATGCAAAAACTCCTCTTGAATGAGACTTTAAGCGCAATAAGCTTAATATTTATAATTTTATAAGTTTAATGTAAAATTAAATCTCACACACACAATTTGAAAATCGATTACTAACAATTATTTGAAACATAATTCCTTTGCGCGTTCACTTATTCTTAAAATCGCGCTGCGCTATTTACTTCAGCTGCTGAAAAAAAGGATACAAGAGACCATTTCTTAAAATTTCCTTCTGAAGAACAGTTTTGTGTCCTTTAGCCACAATTCATTCGATATATGTGTTACAATTATAGCAATAACAAAAAAGTTTCTCGCATGGTGAATTTTTCTCTGCGCGGATAATAAATGCGCGATTTTGTAGGGCCTGTTAAAACTATACTAATACCAAATAAGGCATTATATACGCATAATTGGAGGCGCTGATTATTCTAGTTTAAGACACCGAAAGTATTCTAATGATATAGTTTCTAGAAAAAGAAATATGATAATGTAAAGATAGAAAAACGCGGATTTACTAACATCGTTTTATCTTCAATAATTTAAACCTAAAAATTAAT